ACTAATAATGCCTTACGTGTGTATGCGAGGGATACTTTTCTAAGTCCGACATATTTTAGCCACCTTTGTGTTTGTCTTGTCACGAGAGATTCCTAAAAATAAGTATTGAAGTGACGGAGTGGTGGTGAGGAATTGGCGGTGAGGGAGTGGTGGTGAGAGAGTGGTGGTGAGGTGGTGGTGGTGAGGGTGTGGTGATGATGGTGAGGTGGTGGTGGTGGTGAAGGAGTGGTGATGATGGGGAGGTGGTGAAGGAGTGGTGGGAAATTTAACCTCTATGTGTGGGTGTGTACGCGCGTCAAGACTCAAGTATTCAAACAATCTGCGTGAAGTATTATTAACTTAGTTTTATTTCCAGTTTTTTGATAGAGTAAAAAAGAAATCACTATAATATTTCTCAAGAATAAACTTCACCAAGCATCATGTTTCCTCAGTTAAAAAAAAAGAATGATATTTATTCATATTCTTGGACAGGATTTGAAATAAGTTTATGCTTGAGGTGTTGTGATGTGACAATAAAAATTCGATTTATTAAGATGAAATAAACTCAAAAGAAAACATCACATATTGACAACTGAAGAAATCTGAAGAAAAAAAAAATTAGGTTTTTTTCAATCAAGATTAAAGAAAAAGTAACAGGTATAGGAGATGAGGTGATGGTAAATAACGCCTTAAGAAATATAGTGTCTTGTCATAGCCAGGATTTAAAAGAGAAAGCATTGGAAAGTGTGAGAGTAAAAAAGAGTAGAAGCAAAAACTAAAAAAAAATAAAAACAAAAAACAAAATCTCACGCATCAAAACCCAAAAATTCCTGACTTTTCGATATTCCAGATTCAAAAAATAAATAAAATAAAATAAAATAAATCTACATCTGAAAACAAATATTAAAAAACGTGTATTTAATCTCAGGCAGAACGAGAAGTAAACAAAAAATATATATAAATTGTATCAGAGTATTGAAAGTTGAGATAAAAAAACATCATATATACTAGAAATGAAGAAGAAATATCCACTACCCACAGGTGAGAGAGAAAATGTGTTTTTTTTTCCATCTCAGGTAAAAATCATCACAATACGAATTAAAACAAAATTGTACTGGGATGTTTGAATGTGGTGGTCGGCGGAGAGCGGGAGGGGCGGCGCGGCGGCTTACTGGCAGAGTGGCGGCGTTTACATGGAGGCTCCACAAGGCACCAGTAATCGATAGTCGGGAGGCGCAAGGTGGGGGGCAGCCTGTTTACTTTTGCCATGTCCTGTCGACTGCTTGATTTGTGTAATAGCGTGTGGGAGTTTGGTAGCGGGGGGAGGGGAAGAGGAGAGAGAGAGAGAGACAGAGAGACAGAGAGAGAGAGAGAGAGGGGGAAGAGGACTGTGGTGATGGTGGTGGTGGTGGAGGTGGAGGTCGAGAGGGGATGGTTGAATATGGAAAGGGGAAAGGGTGGTGAAGAAATGGTGGATGGAAAGGGATAGTAGAGAGATGAAGGAGTGAAGTGGATGATGGGAAAAGGATATTGTGGAAGGGAGAAGATGGTTGAAGCAGATGGAATGGATGGAGAGAGAAAATAATAGTGGAAATTGATGTGGAATAATGGGCGGTGGGGAAGTTTCTGAAGGAGGGAGCTTCGGTGGAGAGTTGAGGGGGTGGGTAAGAGGATAGGTGGAAGTGGGTAGGTATGGAGGAGTAGAGAATGGTTAGAGAAGTGAGGGTAGTGGCTAGTGAGGATAAGGGAGATAGGTTGAGAAAGGCAGTGAAGTGGAGTGGAGGATGGTGGAAGGTAGAGATGGAGGTGGGGGTGAAGGATGAAGGGTGGTGAGGTGATGGAGAAGGGCGGGGGGGTGGAGGATGGTGGAGGCGTAGGGTGATGGATGGTAAAAGAGGCGATAAATAGGGAAAATGAGGGGTGGAAGATAGTGGATGATAGAGAAAGGAGGTGTGGAATGTGGAGGGTAGCGGAAAAGGGATAAAGGTGGAAGATGGATGCAGTGTTGTGGACGATATACCTGAAGTAGTGGTGTTGTTTGTTGTGTGTGTGTGTGTGTGTGTGTGTGTGTGTGTGTGTGTTGCTATGGCGATGCACACCCGGCTGACTACAGTACTTCAAAATACCTTCTGTTTTTTTTATTACTATTTTAGAGATTAGAAATACTTTTTTTAACATTATTTTTATTTAGTATCTGTTAATCTTAACCTCTGTCACTGATAAAAAAAAAATATGTTGGGATTATTATTCTAAAAAAAAATTATACTTTCTTCTTCTTGAAATTGTTATTTGTTTTGACGCGACAAGGAAGCAGTTACTATGACAGCAACATCAACAAAGGTTAAAAGTGGAGTTATGTTATACTGCAGGAGCCTCGGTTCTCCCAATAACAGCAGCTGCCAGCGACCATTTTGGACACACACACACACATGCGACGCCAATTACTGATAGAAAAAAAAATCCCGAGACCTTCCAAAGCGTTGCCACTTTTACACTTCCGAGGATTCCAGGCAAGATTATCCCTTACTGGGTCTCCCCGTAGCGTCTAGAGTGCCGCCTCAGATCACACTTGTTCCTGGTAGCGCCTTGTGGTCTTCCGTGAGGCGGCGTGAATTATTGGCGTGAATTATTTAACAGGGGGGTCGACGCAAGCGCAACATGCCGGGCGAGGGAAGGGAGGGAGGGGGGAGGGGGGAGGGGGGCGACGAATGGGAGACACCTATTGCTTCTACTACCTCCATCACCTCTACCACCACTACCACCACTATCAACACCATCAACAACAACTAATACCGTGATAATATTGCTATACTACCACTACTACTACCTACATAACTACCAATATGCATCATCAGTATTACTATCTATAACACGACCTTATCACTATCATTGCTACCACAACACCATACCTCCTCCCCACAATATAAATATTACTACTACGATAACCACCACTATCACCACCAAGCAGCACCATTACCTTTATTTTTTTCTCACTTTCCTCTTTGTCTCCATCTTCTTTGATTTCTATGGTGTTCTTTTCCCCTCACCTTACCCTCATCTCTCTCACTTCTTTTACTTCCCTTCTCCTGTCTATACAACCTCTCTCACCCTTCCCTTTCCTCTATCCTTCTCTACTTCCACTCTCCACTATCTTTCTTACTTTCTCTCTCTCCTTCTCTTTATCCTCTCCTACCTCTGCTTTCCTGTCCTTACCTCCCTTTTCCCTTCCCATCTCTCCTTTTTCTATCTCTTCATTCCCCTTCCTCACTTCCCTCCCCTTTTCTCACCTCCCCTCACTTGGCCACAGCCGCCAATCTGGGCCCCCCCCCCCAGGTGCGACGTGACACACCTGTGTAGGACGTGGCGGCGTGGATATGCTGAGTCAATCAATAACAAGGAGAGTGAAAATAACGGCACGGTGTTGTCATGGCAAAGGCTAAACAACCCAAGAACAAAGTGGTGTGTGTCTGTGTGTGTGTGTGTGAGTGTGGATTCTTTTTTATGCTCATGTGTAGATGTATTAGCATTACTCCTTCTACAGTACATGCATGCTAATGAACACAAGTATATGTATATACTGTATACATATACATTACATGCATATACACACAGACACTACCTCCTCTAACACACACCCAGGCACAACACCTGACTTTAACTTAGTGGGGTTACGCCTAGACTAACATATCTTAATTAATTTACCGAGTTTAACCACATCTTCCACAACACTGTTCCTACGAGAAGACTGTCACTCACTCTCTTGAAAGCACCTGTAACACGGTCTGACGAAGGGAGGTATGCAGGTGAAGTTTACGTGACAGCAGCGTCCCTGTCACGCTCTTGTAGACTGGTAAAATATTCCCCAAGATTATCAGGAGCAAGATTGTCTCAAGTCGCTCCTCCTGACTTGAGGATTTCAGAGCAATATCTTCCTGGATAACATAAAATTACAACACCGAGATGGAAACCAATAGAGGTGCTGAAAATATACTCAGATTATGTAGTAACCAGATGTTTTTTCTTATCATCAGGTAAAGAAAAAACAATTAAGGTAAAAATCTTCGAAGTGTCCGAGGTTAGGATGAGAGAGAAAATACAGTGTTCTTAGTCTCTAGGATAAGTCGCATCTAAGAAATAATGGAAGTATTTATTAAAGCCAAGAAACCTTAATTTTTTCACACTTCATAATATCGACATAAGGTGTGACTTTTCCCAATTATCTATAGAAAATAAGCAACAAATTCAAGTGGCTGTAGAAGACCATCTATATTTCTGGAATAAAAAAAATGTTGAGGACAAGAATATTTGGATATATTGTAAAAAAAAAATATATATCTTAAAAAGCAGAAGAAAAAAAACATTGTGAATATGAAAAAAAACTAGGTTTATAAAACGTTACGGTGTAATGGAAATAGATAGATGGATAGATAGATAGATAGATACGGCACAACCCTTGTGCCGTACTACTTGGTATGTATCGCAGACTCTCTACCTGGCGTTTATTTTGATGTGGGTGTGTACAGTCAGGAAACTACACTACACCCAGCCATTTGTATAGGTGTAGCGCGGGTGTTGATACAGTGTACAAGAGCTTATACACGCCGGCAGGAGGCGGTGGTGGAGGTTAATATGAGAAAGGCGTTTATGATGGTTATTGATGCACGTGTGTGTCGGGCTGGTGTGTCGGACAGCGCTTGAACAGTGTTCAAGGAGTGTGTCAATCATGTGTTAATAGTGGGTGTCGTACGGGGTAGTTACCAGGCATTGATTGGGCTTCATATAGGAGGCCTGTGATAACACCGGTGTGCCGTGATGTCATCCAGTCTAAGTGTTGTAGTGCTTAGTAGTGGTATAGTGTTCAACACGCGCCACACAGTGAACCACATAGTGTTACTTTCCTACAGTGCACTAAACAGTGCCCCACACAGCGCACCACACATTTCACCACATATTGCACCGCACATTGCACCACACAGTGCCACACACAGCGCACCATACATTGCACTATACAGTGTACTCACCATGCGCTGCTTGGGCTTGATGAGGGGTCGGTTCTGGCCGTTCATCTTGTAGTACAGGCCGCAGGCGTTGCACAGGTAGTGACCATTACCGTCGCGTCGCCACAACGGCGTCGACGTGGCGCCGCAGTTGACGCACTCACGGCCTTCTGTTGGTACACCGCATGCGGGAAACTTAGTGAAATATCGAATCAGTATCTTCTTGGGAAAAATTATATATATTCATTCCACTCTATGAACACAATGCATATTACGTTAACCTGATGAGAAACACTGACCTGACTAACATAGTAATCTGATGGGCAACACTGACATGATATAGTCATATATCTTATCAGGTTTTGAGACATTTTGGATAACACTCAGATGGTCAGATACAACCATCAGCCTTCCAACCAGAAAGAGTGATCTCAGTTGAGGTTGTGTTGATTCGAATTGTTTGCTGATATCATCAATCGACTTGTTGATGTTATGAGCAACTAACAATACTAATTGAAGTACTCAAGGCTAATGATCCTTAGCTGACCAACATTGTGTTAATGATTACAGGTGTTATAAGAAACAGGTGCAGCAAGTGAAGCATATAGAGCACATCATGGGAGACTAAGACACGTACAAAGAATATAGCAAATACCAGACAATAAGTATGATTAATGGGTAGGTTAATGGTTAAGTAAAGATGACTGAGGTACAAGGGAGGAAAATCTCGGTGGTTTGGAGGTGTGGTGGAGATGGAATACAAAAAGGGAAAAAGGAGAAGGATTAATGGGCACGGAGGTAAATATGCACACAATAGAAGCGCTTTTAAGGAAATCTGCATATTAGTTTTATATTTATTCCTGCCATCATACCCGAGTAATGTAAAGGGCATACATTCTCTACCTGTTTAATTCGTATTATATTATTTCACGCGTATTATCAGCACCGCATGAGTTACACTAACTATCAGGAATTTAATTCATATTGCAGAATAATTATCTTGGGTTGTGGTGATTTTAGTGTGCCCTCACCATCATGTCGAGAGAGGTATATATGTTACTGTAAAATATTCACTCAAAATTATCTTCACACTTTAAGAATTCATATAGACTTACTGTTTTTTTTTAAGATATATGAGAACCATCTTCGCTACCAGAGTTTAAATTCAATGACTTCTGTAAACACAATATTGTTGATTGTCACATACGTCGTTGTAAACAGCTGCTCGGTCAGAGAGAATCCCGTCCCCATCACACACACTTACCCAAGATTAAAAGATATTACAGTTAGTGTTTACTATCATTAATCTAGTGCTACAGAGTGTTATAGTACCGGTTATAGTTACCACAGGAATCCTTGACAACGCGAGAAAGTTTACGATCATCCGTCCACCAGGGAACATTACCAAGTATGATAGCTGCTAATGATATAAGCCAGATGATGACCAGGTTCTACTGCTGCCCATTAACCTGTCCTCAGGTAACATTAGTTCGTATAGTTACACGTATCAAGACTCATTTTTCCACCCTAATCACACATGAGGTTTTGACAATAACAACAGCCCTCTCTTAGGCAGGACAAGCAAGAAACAAAGTCCAAGTGCACCTGCGTGTCAACCATCATCTTGGGTGGCCGAGAGCAACGCTATACTTGGCGAGAGATGAATCAGAATATGTCGCTCAGAGTGTGTAGGGAGTAATGCTCTCGATCACATACAGTAGCCATAGAACTACCAATAACACCTTGAGAAATAGTAAACAAATCAAGTGAATTAAACTCAACGTGTATGGATTGTTTCTCCTTACGACCATCTGGAGAACAAGATAAACAAACGGTATACAGGTCTTAGGTCTACCCTCTGTATTACTCCTCTCACTCTATCACTCCTGCAGCACCAGCTATATCTCTCACGCCGTCGCTACTTCTACATGTTGAACAAAGTAATAAAACAAACACACACACACACACACCACAATAAAATCCCTAGTTAGCACCACTAGATATAATGGTGTCATTACCAAAAGAACATACATCACACTAACGCAGATGTAATAATGAGTAGTTTACCTCCCTCCCCCACCGCACCCTACCCCTGGACAGCTGGGTGGCGGTGCTGCTTATATTACAGTACAAGTGTGTGAATACATATGTACCTTGAGTGCTAACCTGTCTTATATTGTTGTGACCATGATCTAGATAGTTTTATTGTTTGTCTGGTGTTACAAATGGAAATTAAGTAGTTTTTTATAATATAATTTCCGGAAGGTTGAGAGATATGATACATTACTCTCTCTCTCATAAAAAAATCAAATAAGATAAACATGATCCTATTTTAATGAATATAGTAACAAGAAAATTAGATACAAAAGACACATTAGTAAATAAGGTACTGACAGGTATATGCTGGGCAGGTGAGTGTACCTTGACACGAGGCGCTGCTACTATCAATATTAATCAAGAGTAAGACAACGCCTCCAGTCGCCACTCCTTTGGCTGCCAGAGATAGATTATTAATAGACGTGACAGGCATGGTTGATGTGGTGTAGGTGTGGTTGATGTGGTGTAGGTGTGGGTGATGTGGTAGTTGTGATGTGGGGTGTGGATGATGTGGTGTAGGTGTGGGTGATGTGGTGTAGGTGTGGTTGATGTGGTGTAGGTGTGGGTGATGTGGTAGTTGTGATGTGGGGGTGTGGATGATGTGGTTATGATGTGGTTGTAGAAGATGTGACGGGTGTGGGTCGTGTGATGTTAGCGTATGGGATGTGGTGTAGGTGTGGTTGATGTGTTGCAGGTGTGGGTGATGTGATATAGGTGTGGGTGATGTGGTATAAGTGTGGGTGATGTGGTGTAGGTGTGGGTGATGTGGTGTAGATGTGGGTAATGTGGTGGAGGTGTGGATAATGTGGTGTGGGTGGAGGTGATGTGGTATGGAAGTGGATAATATAGTGGTTGAGATGAGGGGTGTGGGTGGTTGTGGTGGCTGTGATGTGACCTTGTGTGGGTAGTGTAACATATTGTGTGGGTAGTATATCATGTTATGTGGGTAGTGTGGAACAAACTCTCTCCCTGCATTCTATAACTGACGAGGATTTTTACCGTCCTACTTTCGAGCGTAACTACTCCGGCCGATATTTAATCACACACACACACACCGAAAATATCAATTACAGTTCATGATCAGTCCATAATAATGACCAAAAATGACTCCCATACAAAACACGGCAACATCAAACGATTGAAATCAGGGAATAAAACCATAATAAATCGCTTTTAATGGGAAAATAATATATTTAGTGAGTGTGGGTCCGGGTGCAGTGAATTTAAACAGAGATAAGAATTTATTTTAATGGCTGCTGCAGTTTATCATCGGGTAATAATTATTGGAAACTTTAAACGGGACTGGTGGTGGTGGTCGAGAGGAAAATAATGTGTAGGCCTATTCTGTCAGAGGCCTTCAAAATCTTTGTACTTTGATTAAGGTCATTAGTGGGTCATTTAAACGGCCAATTGTTCCCTCTCCCCTCTAATGTTAAATTACGGAGACGAGATCGAATGATAATTTTTTTTTAATGCAGATAATATTTCACGATTAACTTTTCCCCATAATGAATTAAGAAATCTCCCTCTTCCTAACGTGAGGGTCTTCTTAACTGGATTTAATCATATTTAATTAGTAATTATTCTTCCATTACAAGATTCTAATCCAGATAATAATTCCTACTTTTTCTCCCATAAGGAATTAATAAATATACCTTGAAATATAGTGCTCTTCTGTAATACATTAAATCATAATATAATCAGTACTGAATCCTCTATTTAAAACGTGGTAAATATTCCTCGGTGTTATCATTTGGAATATATATAAATCATGACTGAAAATCCCACATTATGTTGGACAGATGGTCAAGCTAAAGAGAGATTTCTATTGGCTGGTGGTTAGTGTAGTGGTGAGTGTAGTTGTTAGTGTAGGTGGTTAGGGTAGGTGGTTAGTGGGATTGGTTTGTGTAAGTGGTTAGTTAAATTGGATAGTGTTAGTGGTTAGTGCAGATGGTGTCAAAGATCCCGTGTGTGTGTGTGTGTGTGTGTGTGTGTGTGTGTGTGTGTGTGTGTGTGTGTGTGTGTGTTTGTTGGCATGTAAACAAGTGAAGAGATCAATAGAGAGATAGCTAAGCTGATAGAAATATAGACAAATAAATAGATAAATAAACAAGTAAGTAAATAGATAGAGAGGTAGATAAATAGATAGACAGGTAGATAAATAGATAGACAGGTAGGTATAGTGGCAGGTAATTATGTAAGTAGATAAACGAAAGGATAGATGGACAATTGGACATGTTGGGTAGGCAGACAGACAGACAGACAGACAGACAGACAGACAGACAATAATTACTGGGGATTGGCTGTTAGTGAGTTACTTCTGAAATACCACGTTTTATCATCACATTCAATATTTCTGTTGCTAATTATAGAAGAGTCGGATTAGTATACGTGCCGGGTTGCTTGATCACGCTAGCAGTTGTAACAATGTTCGTAAAAAAAAAAATTAAAAATGAAGACCAATTATAACGTATCAGCTAGAGACTATCTTACCATGATCCCTAGTTCCCCCACATCAGCTGTTGGGTGTCAGCTTTATCAGTGAAGCATCCCTGTTATCAGCTGACCAAAGGTGGCTCTGTCTACACCTTCAGAATGACACCTCAGCTGATATCTAAGATCCTCTCTGCTTACACCTGTGACTCACTCTCACCTTACTAGAGATAATTCGATCATAAGGGAGTGTCGTCTTGGTGTGATAATTAGGTATTATGGTGAACGGGGAGACAGGTGTGTGTGTGTGTGTGTGTGTGTGTGTGTGTGTGTGTGTGTGTGGTCGTGGGGACGGATGCTGTACTTGGATTAATGTAAATAAGTGCGAACATGAACGGTGGACGTGTGGATGAGAATAAATGCAATAATGATATGCGTGTGTGTAGGTGTGTGCACTGACTGACGATGTACAGGCGTGTAAGTGTGTGCACTGACTGACGATATACATACAGTATATGCAGACTTGTGCACTGATGGTAAAGATATGTGTTGAAGAAGGCTGCTCTGACTGTGTGTGCGTGTGTGCGTGTGTGCGTGTGTGTGTGTGTGTGTTGACGGTGTAAGGTTGTGTGGCTGTGTT